CTGGGTGGGCGGTAGGATTGTGCACCCCCATGCCTTTGCTGCAAGAGTGTGGGGTGCTCTGCTGATGCTGAGGGGGTACCACTCTCTTGTCCCCAGTGAGCACGTGGTTTACACATCCTGGAACGAATACGTAAAAAAAAATACATTTTATCTGAAAGTACGAGTGGTCGCAGGAGGAAGCAAATGGGAGATAGAGACACTCTTCAGCAGGATGCTGTGACTTGATGGACACACAGTCCCAGATTTATAAATATGTATAAACTGAAATCCTCTTCTGGTAAAAAAAAAAAAAAAACCTGCTCCCCTATTCTAATAAGCCCTTATCATTTTATTTTGGCCTGGGCTGTGCACGTCTGCTGGCTCCATGCTGCAGGTGCTGGAAGATCATAATTGAAACCTGGAGATAGAAATTATTCTGCCCACAATTCCGCTGAAGCTCAGCCGGGAAAAAAAAAAACCAAACTGGGAGAGACTGCGGGTGTTGACCTTTTCACCTCCCCCGTGGTGTGCTGTCCCCCTCACGCGGCAGAGAACAAAGAGCCCAGCGCTACCCAGGGTTAGCATGCCCACCAGCCCCTATCGCCATGCCCGCCGCGAGGCTGAGACGGGTAGCGTGTGCTCGAGCTTTTCTGGAGTCTGCCGTGCAGATGGGCTGAGCCCCCCCCCCTTCACAGCGAGTGGCATATACAGCCACGTTGATGCTTCTAGGACATTGCCCTTGCCCCTTTACAAGGAGGGCTCGGGGGTTGTGTGCATGGGACAGGCTGGCTTATTTTTAGGAGGTCGGCCCCGGCCCCGGCTGCTCCCGTGTCATGTTTTGGAAACGCCCAAGCAAACTTGGGGGAAATGTCCCAGACCTCTGTTCATGCCTCTTTCTGTCTGCGGGCTGTAAAAGACAAGGTCTCAGCACCTCAGTGTAGGTCATTGTGCTTTCTCAGCTGCTGAAGACGGTATATGATGTGCAGTAATTAATGCCTGTATGTTTATATGTATCATTTTATCAATGATACATTCACTTAAACATTATGGCAGTTATTTTCTTTTTGGCGGCTTGATTGCTTTAATTTAACCCCTATTTTGTGGTGCTTCCAGTGTGAAACCAGCCCTAATGCAGTGGTAGAGGCCCATCAGTGAGCCCAGGGCGCTGCTGTCCTGTGCCCGTCCGATGTCTGAACTGGCAAAGATGGACACTGAGCCCCTCTGCGCTGTCTGACTCTTCAACAGCCAGCCAGCCCCTTCACTCGGCATGTCAAATTTCTTCTGATTAAAATACCTTGCAGACGGAAGAGGAGAGGTATTTAGAAATAAATATTCCCTCTCTGAAATGATATGCAGCTGCAGCCTCTGATTCCTTATCCGTCTCCCCTATTTCCCTGTTCTTTATCATGGCCTGACACTTGTGCCAAACTAGTAATCAGAGCTGGACTGCTATAAAGAAACTTGGCATTCTAATCTCAACTGTTGCATATCTAATACTAATTGGAATCCTGCAACTGGGTCACTGTCATTGTTTTTCAAGTACTGTCAAGTCCGGAAAACATATGAAACTGAAATTATACCCCGCGCAGGCTGCCTGATTGAATCCTTTTGCTCCCACTGATGTGCTCTCATACATCCTATTAAAATATTCAATCTGGTGTCCGCAGTTGTGAAGAGCTGCGCTGGGAAGGGCAGCTTGCAGCAGCCCAGTGTGCCGGGGGAGCAGCTCTGCGTGCTGCTGGCACACTGTGGGGCTTCTCCGAAGAGGTGGATTTGCAGACGCATCTTCAGGAGAGATTTTTTAATTGTCAGCTGCAGAGATATTTTTAGGGCGTTTGTCTTATTTTCTTTGCACTCAAAGCCAAATGCAAATGCGTTAGCACATCTTTTTATTTATTTATTTTTTTGGCCCCTGTCTGTGCGGCAGGTAGCCGTTCCAAGACCTGAGTTTTTCCTTGAGCACGTTGTCCAGAACAGTGTCTCCTCTTGCGCCCGGTTTGTGTTTCATTTCTGGAGATCTCTGGGACATGCTTGACATGCTTGACCCATGTAGTTGTGCTCTCGAGGATCTTATCTAAGGTAGTGATTGACCGCTGGATTTTCTGGGCACCTCCTGTTAAAAACTGCAGCAGTACCAGAGCTGCTAATGGTTGGAAGTCAGCGCTTGGATCGTATTGGCCCTGCAGGTGCTGTTAAGGTGAAAAACCCCAAATGCGTTTAACCATTATGTACTCTTCATGCAACCTGTGTCAGGTTCGCAAGCTTAGACACTTTAGACCCGTTCTTTTCTGTCTCTGCGTCATGTCCGTAGACTATGATGCATCTCTGAATATTTCAAAGACTGTCGATAATGCATGACCTAAACATCTGGCATCTCTGTGCCGCGGCCCCAATTATTTCTGGTTTTACTGCAGATAGCTCAGTTGACACTTTTATTTTCAAGAAAATGATTTACTGTTAATGACCAGACTTGAATGGCATGCTATTGCTCTAGTGCTCAGTATGTAAGCTTCAGCTTAGCCATACTGGTCATCTGTCCAATATTCAGTGCGATGCCAGCGATGCTAGTTTCCCCTTTGAACTCTCCCAGTGAGTGGGGAAACAGCACTAATGCCCCATGCAGTGGTCTGCATGGCGCTCACAGCTGGGACAAGGAGTAGGTATCTTAATGAGCAGAAGTACTCACTGAGTGAGACCAGCGTGTGCCCTGACTGTTGTGACTCATGCTTAAGTGCGCCTTGAAAAGAGAAGGGTTGAGTAAGCCTGTACTAATGGGTCTTGAAGGAGCCGCAGGTCCAACTACAATGACAGTAATGATTTATCTCGGCCTTTGACCTTTCAATTTAAGCCTCTTGTCACTCGAGTGAAGTCTGTCGAGTCTGATGTCGGTCTTGTGTTCTGCGTGCAGGACAGAGCTATACCGCTCGCTGTTCGGGAAGGTCTCCCCCGCGGCCGGCACCCTGCAGCTGTAAGGAGGGCCGAGATGGAGGGGCAGGCAGGACGCAGACGTACCGAGGGACGCGCAGAGCACCGTTCCCGATCCTGATCCAGGTGCCTTTGGGAAGGAGAGCCGACGTCGACGTGAAAGCCGATGGTACTTACCTTGAGACAGTGCTACATAAAACAAAAGGCAAAACTCTTGAATTCTTGAACTCTTGAACTGGCAAGGGGAGACTGGGTCTGTGTTGAATCAGTCAGGAACATGATACAGGATCCGGGCTTGTAGGGATTGTCCCTGAAAGACGTTTGTTTTATCTTTGTGGCTGGCACACCTCTCCAGAGTTTAGAAGTTAACTGGCGGAGATTCTCATAAAGTTTTTTAGTATTGTGTGAAGACCGTCAAGGTCTCGCGTCCTTTGAAACAATGTTAAGCTATGCACACTTCTGTATCGCTCACCGAGGTGAAATGGACAGGTCGTTTTCCACGCAGACGAGAGGTGTTTGGGAGTTCTAAAGCCCGTGACGTGAGGCTGCTCGTGGACAAGCAGGTCCTCAAGCAGCAGCCCCTGCGGCAGTGAAGTCTCCTGGGTTTCTCCCTTGGGCTCTCCCACACCGCCAACATCCTCCCCCCTCCCCCCGGAAACATCCGCCAGACCGCTGCCACCCCACCACTGTCCAGTCCCTCTCCACAGAGACCCCGCGAGACCCCCCCGCCAGCGCAGCCACACACAGCAGCGGCGGCGGCGGCAACAAAGCCCAAATCGAATTGTGTCCGCGACAAAGAAACAGACTCCGCGTTTTTGTCTTCGGAGAAAAGTGGCTTTTCCGTTTTTTTTCGTTTCTTGGCTTTTATTGTTATTGTTGTTTTTGTTATTATTATTATTATTACAGGAAAAAAAGGCTCAGAGAACAGGACAACGGGATTCGGTCTCTTGTTTTTTTTTTGTCTGTCCCCAGTCTCGGCTCGACTTGTGCTTCTGTTCTTCACAACACTCGGAAAATTCTATTTTGAGACAAACAACTTCATTTTCCAGCGCGTCTCTAATTAGCTGCGGAATTAGTGAGTCTGACGTGCCTCCATAGATCAGCCAGGGCCTCGGGGGAGGCCGTTGGGATAGAGCAAGCCGCATTTCCAATTATTGTGTTGAATTGCTAATTTAGTTATTGTGCCTGCCGTAATTGTGATGGGTATTGGGTGTGCAATTCAATTTGTTTTAAATATTTGTGGGCTGGCGTACTGGTAATAGAGCTGACCTATCTTTCGGCCCAGTCTGAAAGTGGAAGACAAAAACAAAGGAAAGAGACTACAAAGATTTCTTTTTTTTTAATTTGATCTTCCTCATCCCTCTTAAGACTGTTGAAGTTAAAAAGCTTGAAATTTACGAAAATACCACTTTGATCATCGGCTGGTAAAAAAGCATCAAGCATTAGACTAATATTGAGGACTTAAGTTTTAAGATAATCGGGGAAATGCTTTTTTTCCCCCTCTGTTGTTTGATAAATAATTTTTATTCAGCGTTTCTGTGTATTATACACACGTTGGTGTGCAGTTCCATTGCATGCTGACAGGATTAGAAATGCTATTTAAAGATATCATTGCATTTTCTAAAGTATATATATTTTTGTATACTGTTATAATAGAGGATAGGCATTTTTTTGGTTATGAGGTTGTGGCTTGAAGAAATGAAAATTTGTAATTGTTTTTGCATCCTAAAGCCTACAGCATTAGCAGCCAACACAATGGAAGTTTCCTTCTGTTTTCTGAAAACTATTATATAAAAGATAGTGAAAGTAAAAGGCTGTTGATTTGCTTTAAGTAGTACCAACCTAATCCTCCGTGATTCTTCAATCACTGCATGCTGTAATTCAATAAGGAGAGCAGACATTACATTCGGGTACTGCACTTTATTAAAACAACACTGTGAGGTAACTGAATGGCTGCAGGAGCCCCTTGTCCTGGCCAGCTACCTCTTAGTATACAACTACCAGGACTGATAGCTAGACAATTACATCACACAACCTTTTCTCGCCTTCAGATAGGCAAAAAAAACAACAACAACAAACAAAGAGGCAAAGAGGCATTGTTGACCTGTAATTTTCTGTCACCTGCATTATCCAAAACTACAGAGCCTATCCCGTAACACTGACCTCTCTTAACTCTCCTTTATAACTGATAGATCCGTAGAAGGTGAAAAGGTGTTTTGTACACTGTGGCCACTGCTCTAGTGATTTCCCCCCCCCACCCACATCTGTCTGTTTGAGCTGCACATCTGGATAACGTCAGACATGCTATAGCAAGCTGCCAGAAGCCCTGCCCCTGTGGGACGGTGTGCTCACATCTGCCTGTGTTCAAGCTGAACAGGCTTCATGCTCAGTAGAATTATGTTCAGAGGCTCTCTGTCCCCTTCATCACAAAATTCAGGTGTATTTTTAACTGCTTCAGTCATTAACAATCCCTTGCTTGCTTTCTATTTTTAAACAAATGTAAAAAAAAATGAAGCTGAAAGTAAATTACCTTGGTTTGATAAAGGGTTAGGTTATCTGAATACATACAGTACATGGTTTTAAATTATTATTCAAGTGTAGAGTTAAAGGGGCTAGTCGGTGTGATTTTTTTTGTATACAGGATTGGTCCTAAAAGAATAATGGAAGCCGCATTAAATGTGCAACACCTTTTATCAAAGGCCTGTCTGGGTCCCATCAAAAGAAATCCTGCTTTAGAAATTTCTGTCATGCAGATGATCAGTTTCATTCGCTCACAGCTTTTCATTTAGCTCGCTCCATTTTTACTTAAGATTTTTTTTAGATTTAGTACTTTAAAACAGTGACATGAGCGATTCATTTTCTAATTGTATTTGCATATGTAAATATAACAACCGCTATGAATAGGTTACCCACTTTTTAGAGGTGGGGCATTAGCCTGTAAATATACCACCACCATCCCTCAGTCTTCTCAAGACTGAAACAAAGGAGGGAAAGATGTTATGATATTTACATTTGGCAACTTTTACATTAAAAGATATTAAAAAACTGAAGCATTTTAACAAAACGTATTATCTTAAAAATCAAAACAAAATGCCAGGATATTGGTAAAAGAGATTCTCTCAGCTTTTTATAACTCTGTATACACCTGGGCTGTGCTGGAGCCACGCACGTGCAGGAGGGGGTGTGTTCCTGCGCCCCGGGGCCCGTCGTCTCACCCAGGTGCCGCCTGTCGCTCTCTCATGTGCGGCCAGGCCGCGGCTGACCCCCGGGGCCCCTGTGAAAGCGCTCGGCTCTGAATAGTAGGGACCCTTGGGCGGGAGCAGCCTGTGCCCCTCCAGCTTTGATACCCTCCCCCCCTCCCCGCAGGCCCGGCCACACAGCACACATCCTGTTTACACCTGCTGCCTTTGATCGCAAATTAAGTGCTCTTTTAAAGGTGTTTTAATCTTTCCATTTGCGTTCAACAGAAGCAATTGGGCCCGGTTACTGATGTTGAAAGTGCTATTGCGGCACACTCAAACACACAAAGCCTTTTTTTAAAAAATGGGATTTTCCTTCCAGTCCTTTTTTTTTTTGCAGGAGGTTGTAGAGCGGTGGGGGGAGGTGTAGAGACAACACCACCCCTCTTCTGTACAATTACTAACATTTTAAACCTTGCACACTGGACAAACCTTTTGTTTTAGAAAATCCTCGATAAACTATTAAAAAAATCACTCTCTTCCTTCAGGACACAAACTAATCTGGCCCTGAACCTTCACAAGCATTGCACTGGCCTGTATTAATCCTAATTGAGTACGAGTGTTTGAAGATGTAGATAACAGACGCTGTATTCTGGTTCTAGAGCCGATCTGTGCGTCTTCTTTCCAGGGCGTCAGTCGAGCCTCTGCCTTCAGTGGGTTCAAGGAGGCTGTCGTCACAATGCAGAACAGCGATGGCGCTGCCGGAGTGCAGAAACGCACAAAAGTCTCGGCCACTCCCTCCTGCCCTGTGGTTAGCAGTGTTGGTTGGTGGGGTTTTTTTTGGGGGGAAGGGGTGGTACTTGCGTTCTGGAGTCCTGAAGGCTGGCGCACGCCTGTCGGGGCAGAGGGTGGGGTGCAGGGGGGCGTGCTCTAGGAGGAGGGCGGTGCCTCCATGGTGGACAGTATGCGCACCACCTCTGCGCGCTGCGTGGGCGAGATGTGCTGGGTCATGTGCACGATGGAGTCCATTGCCACCTCAGGGTTGGCCTGCACCAGGCTGGGAGAAGCAGATGAGAGAGAAGGTCAAGGGTCACCCTAGCATCATGCTGGCAAGCAGACAACATTGATCAATGAATGCAACAATAAGTACTGTTAGTGTTATTACTGCAGTATAAATATCGCATAGGTGCATATGGGTATTACATTTTATTTCAAGGATTGCAGGGGCTTGGAGCAAACTGCCCAGCTGTGTTGCTGAAGCAGGTTGCTAGGATCTGTCAAAAAAAACATTAGGAGGAGGCTCTTTGAGTGGTAAATTACTCACAGACAAATGCATTGAATGAGATCCTCTTTTTTGGAACCTTTCTTACACACGCTACCACATCTAGAACTAAATCTTTTATGTGAACCTTTGTTTTTCCTTAAACTACAACACAACCCCTCTCCCACCTTAAAGTGTAAATTACTTTGTATGCAACTATTTTTTCTGTAGCAGGATTTATATATTAAATATTTTCCATTTAGTTTTATGTAATACTTCAGCATGGGTGTTCTTTTTTGTGTTTTCCCTCATGCCCCCGAAGTACTTTAAAATGTGTTGTGCTGTGTCTGAAAGGGGGATGATGATGGTGTGACAGGTACATTTTTAAGTGTTTTTAGAACACTTTAAGCACAAGACGACTGGTGTCCCCGTCTGGCCTGGTACCTCGAGATGGAGAAGCAGAAAATTAACTTTACTGCTGTAAGAATGGGACACTAGCCCTCCACCCCATCTTCATCCCCATCATTTTCATCTAGATGAGAGGATGTTAGAGCCTTAGTCTGCAGCCCTGGGGCGTCCCCCTGCTGCATGTATCCTACAGCTCTTCCATTGGTGGAATCTTGTAAAGACATAAAGCCTTCAGCATGGGCTGCGACTGGGCTTCGTGCAGGAGTGTGCGTGGGGTGGGGACGGCTGGCAGCTCACCTGCGGATCTGCTTGAGGATGTGGTCCCGGCGGATGTACTTGATGTTTTCGTCGATGATGGAGCGTGCCCCTTCCTCCTCCTTCAGCTGTCTCTCCAGCCACTCCACCACGTCCTCGTTGCTGTCCCACAGGTAGGCCTGGCCAGAGAGAGAGACGGTCAGTGTCACCTGCACCAGCTTGTAATGCAAACCCCACTGCCCCAGGAGTTGAGAGTAAGACTTTCAATGTCAGACCCCGCCATAGACGCAACACGTTACGGTTTCCTGGTGTTGTTAACTCATTTGTGAAAACAGGTACCTGTGTAGCTTAATTTAATACTGTATCTGTCATGTCACACAGCTGTGCTGCAAATTAGTTATCAATGGCTTAATAAAAGTCTCTTTTATGGTGTTCTTAGATGGAAAACAGGAGTTAGCTGTACACCTTTCATCTAAGTCCTTTGTCTCCGCTTTGAGGGGACTGTTGGATTGATCATGTAGAACCAGCACAGGAGCTTTCTTAGAACACAAAGCAATTAATAGCAGGATGGGCATGAACACTACACTATTATGCAAAATCCTGAGCACATGCCTGATTTTTATTTCTACAATCCCACAATTCACCATTTACACCGTCATACAAATAACTTGCGTTAAAGAAGGTCTTTTTGGATACTGATCTGTCTCTGCTGCACCTTTCTTTGAAAATTTCAGTTTTGTTTCACTGTCCCACACCGGGGAGGGGGGGTATCTTTTATCTCCCTGTCCTTGGAGGGCTTGAGCAGGCTGACGAGAGCTGCCGGTACAAATGAAATCAATTTGAAAAGCGCTCTGGTAATTGGTTTCCAAACAGAATTCTTTCCTGAGCGTCTGGTACCTGCTTTCGTATTTTATTTTAACATTTTTAAAAAAATGTCTCCTTTACAGACAAGACAATAAAATAACCTTGTTCTAAATGTGCCAGTTCTTCCTTGCAATCAAGAGTGCAGCATGCATGGAGAGCTGAACCACACAACCAGAACACGCCAGCACACCCCTTCCCTCTGTTGCTCAAGCTGCTGAGCCCCTGCAGAACAAAGTTTCACCTTTCCCGAAAACTGAGCCCGCCAGCGTTGGCTGATTTTATGTATTGCGTCTGACAAACAGTCAGCTTCATTTGCATCCTTAGTCATTGACCTGACTGGCTTTACAACTAACAGCAGACCTGTGACGGGCTCAGAGTGCAGGAGGTAAGCAAGGCTGGGCCTGATCAGTACTGGGATGGGGATCTCTCAGGAAATCCAGTTTGCTACTCAGAAAGGCACTGATGGACCACAGTTTCTGTGTATAATCTTTCATGTCATTACAGCCTTTAGAGTTACAGTCTGTGACCAAGATAGCTCATTAAGCATGGTGGCGCTTCAGCAAAATACCCATGTTCTGAGCAGTATCTACTTACGGGTCTTCCCAATGGAATAAACAGACATTATAATATGTTGGGAACATCAGCAATTTAGGCACAGGCCCCAGCAATGATTTCTACTAATGTGTCAACATTGTCTATTATTAATTATGGCTTAGTTTGTAGAATGAGAACATATACAGTGAGCTTTTCCTTTAGCAATCTGTAGCAGTCACACTGAACAGAAACCTGATCACAACAGCTCAAGGTCGTGGATACATGAAATGCTGTCGTCGCCGATCCATCACATTTACCCATCAGGTCATTGTCATCTGTTCCTTTCTACACATCCATAAAACAAAGCCTTCCCTTTTGCCCTACAAATCACTGATCAGGATTAAATGTTACCTTAAAACAAAGTTAATATTGCAGTAGGTCTCCATACAATTGTGTTATTGAATAAAGAATGAAAAAGTGAAGAATAAAAAGCAGAAGAACGCTGCTTGAACATGTAGCTGTTTTTATGTTTCATTTCCAGGAGAGCATGCACCTTAAGCACAATATTTGCACAATATTTGCTTAAGCACAAATATTTATATACACATGCATTCATACAGATGTGTATATATCATTCATATTTCACACTGTATAATGTTCCTTCCTTTTTGCATACAAATTCTTCCTCTGTACTTACCCATGAACAGGTTAATATCTTAGCCATTAGAATAAAGGGACTAGGAAATAAATGTATAAATGAAAAGTCAACAAGTTTCACAACTACCAAATGCCCCACTGATGCCTTTTTGACAAAACTTGATAGCGAAATGCATATTCATGAAATAAGCAACTTCTGATCCCAAACAAAGTACAGCTCTGGCTTATGAAGATTGCAAGAACGTTAATGACTTCTTCGTTTTAAGCCTGCATAAGAAAGCCAGATTCCCCATGCTTGTAGTCCATGAGAATATTTAATACCGTTATTAATCATTTTTAATCCGTTTGCTTTTAATTAAGAAACAGCATGTTGCTGTCCTATCAGCGCGTGCCAGGGTGCAGATTAATTGTAGCTTAAGATAACTCGCCTTGATTGGTGTAATGTATTAGCTAACAAGACGCCGGCTTCTAAAGATACTTGTACACTACCTTGGGAACTTGGCATCACTCCAGGGCCTTTTTTTTCCTCTCTTTTCTATCGCGACTCCCTTTCGAAGCGGAGTCTCGAGTGTTAGGGACACTTCTATCATCTCTGCGTGCATTTGCACCTCTATTACTTCAGTGCCGTTTGCCAACTTGCCTGTGATGCACAGCTCCCCCAGCGAGAATCCCTTAAAAGTAAGGAGCTTTGCATGACAGCCATGCTGGAATCCACCGCACACCCCTCTCCGGGGATGACATGAGGCTGTTCTGCAGGCAGGACAGGGAGGGGGACAGCATGCCGCGGCGCACAGTAGGCACTCCAGGTGTGGGAAGTGTGGAGCGCTCATCCTTTTCGATTAAAAAAAAATGCAACTTCAGCCACATCCTCCACTGTGTGGCGCAGGCATGCTGGAAGGGAGGGGGTGGCACAGTGTTGCCAACAGTATTTAGTGGGCAGAGGTGTCACTGCCTGGCTCAGGGCTGCAGGGCTGTTAGCAGTAGCTGGTGCGAGCGCTGGCACAGAGAGGCGGCCTGAATACTAAGCACAGTACAGCCATCTGGGCTTGGCCTGGGCACAGCACATGCTCTCTGCTGGACAGTGTAGCAAAAATAGACTTGGAATTGCTTTCATAGATGGCTGCTTTTATAGGGAAATATTTTGTAGCTGTAAAGCTGCACAGCTAATTCTTTACGGACGCATTATCTTTTCCATTTACGACATGGCGAAGCACAACCCTACAGGGCCTGCATTAAATACTGTGTTTACAGCTACACGTGCCTGCCAGGAGTGCACTTTACCGTGCACAGCAGTGCGTCTCGCTGAAGCTGCCCTGGCTGAAAGAGCAGACGGGAGATCATTGCCCTCGATGCATAAGGAAGGACTGGTGGAAGGCAACTGTCTCTGATTGAGTCGCGCCTTTGGGCTTTAGGAGGAGGCACCTCCAGCAGGCACAAAGCCTGACAGGCCAGTCCAGCTTACAGCACCGCGTGTTTGCACCGGAACAGATGCCTCATTATGCGCTTCTGCCACAGGCTGTAAATAAAACGCAAACAAGGTGCCTGGCTCGCTCAAAATTCTTCCTCACCCCAAGATGGCAAACAAGCCTACAACAATCCAACAAGACGATGTCCAACACCAGGATTTGCACCTTTACAGAAGAGCTGCGGCAGTGTCGGAGACAGCAGGAAGGGGGCGTGTGCGGGGCAGGGGGTCGGGAGAGCTCACCTTGACGGCGCCCTCGGCCTCCACGAACCAGCGTCGCAGCATGGCCTGGATCTGGCCATCCGTCAGCTCGCTGTTGGCCGCCTGGATCTTCCTCTTCACCGTGTCCTCCAGCAGCAGGCGGCGCAGGCGCCAGTAGAAGAACTGGCGGGAGGTGCGCCACTCCAGGATGTCCTGAAACACACAGGAGCCACGAGGCACGTCAGAGTTCGATTTCCCCCTTGGCAATCATCCCGGCCATTACAGCCTTTGCTAGAAGGTGAGCTGCTTCAGCGGAGTGGGGTTAAACACAGCATGGAGCAGGCCCCTGTTCATGTTTAGCAGTTGTGCACTACAGCCATTAAGAATAACGGCCTGTTTGAAAGCCAGCTTCACAGTGTCACTGAGCCAGGGGGAGCACACCAGGTCTGGCTGCAGCGCTTTCCCATAGGATCGGCAATGAGTGGGGCTGCCGCACCGGTCTTCCTGTAGGAGTACGGCATTCCTGTCAGCTCCGTCGCAGACCAGAGTCCAGCGGAGGCAAACTGGGACGTGACACAGACGTGTCTCTGGACTCCCCAGGCGGACTTGCCTTCTCAGGCAGAGGGTCTCTGTGGCACGGAGCAGGCACCCCTCCGCACGTGCTCCAACTTGCTCTCCGTGCAGGGCCGGAAATTCATTTCCAATGTGATTAATGACACTCCCCTGCTGCTGTAGCGCCGGCGAATCCGGCGGGGAGGAAGGGAGCGTGGGTATTTACACACCGAGCTGGCTGTGACGGCTCCCCACAGCTCCCGCCCCTGGCGCTGCCAAGAGCAGGCCTGTGGAGAGAGGCTCCCAGCGGGCACAGACTCAAGGCAGCAGGCATACTGGAGCAGTCGTACCGCCACAGTGTACCACTCCAGCAGCCCCAATCTCACAGTGCTGCACATCTGTGCACTCTTACCACAGTGTAACACTACAGCAGCTCCAATCTCACAATGCTGCACACCTGTGCACTCTTCACCACAGTGTTACACTCCAGCAGCCCCAAACTCACAGTGCTGCACACCTGTGCACTCTTACCACAGTGTA